TTAAGTACATATGTATTTATTCCTGCAATCCTCAGTAACTTTTCAAGTCACATTGAATCTTACTCTGATGAAATCCCACCTGGTCCACATCCTATCAATCAATCATGAAGACAACCATCATCACCATCATCCCATGCCTGGAACCTATTTAAGAGAACATTATGTTAATGAACCTCATCCTCGTCCTTTGTCACCTCCAAATCAACTTCGTTCACGTCCCAGACCATCAGTGCCATCGCGTCTTTCAACTTCAGTCACTTGTCCACAATGCGTAGCTGACCCGTCCACTCGTACTCCACCCTTCAGTATTGCCTCTTCAGGATTTACATCATCTCAGTCGAATCTATTCTAATTGAAGTTACTCAAGTCTAGCAATGATTCATCACAAAATCCTGGACCTTTACTTGACTTCTCACCGCACACTAAGCTTTTGGCTCCATTCAGAGTGCGCTACGCTCTCACCTATCCGAAAAGAAAACTCCACATGAAAAGTAAGTTGATCACAAGTTTACTAACTTTTATTTTATTATTCTAGTCAACTAAAACACCTGCTCATTCTGAAATAGCCATAGCCAATGTATTCGAACGTATCACAGTAAGTACACCACTTGTATCAACGTCTTTAAATCCTAAAAATATCCATTTCTTCAATCTAGAATTAATAGCGAAGATGGTAAAGATTCATTTGATTTAGATATTCAAACCGGTATGGAAGAGTTTTGGCAAATTTTTCAATTACCATTCGCAAATACACCTGAAACGATTCATTTAGATGAACAAGCGATTAAACAAACAGTAGAAGAATTTTTGTCATTTAATGGTAGGGCTGCTGCTGCTTGTACAACACTTACTAGACCATTTGCAAGTGATGAAGAAGGTCCTCATGCTGATTTGTTGAAACCTGCAATGAGGTATTTTTGCTTTGGTAGTCCATTCAGCTGATCATTTCTTTATAATCAATTAGCTGCAATCGTACAAAGTTCAAAAAAGGTTGGAACTCAAACTATTTTTGTCTTGATTGTAGATTATGCTTCATCAAATTCAACTCCATTCTTTTGTGATCTTGCAGAGGCTGTGATGTTAATCTTAGGGATTCCTTTTAGAATGAGACTTTTACCACAAATGACAGAAGATCCTGCTGCATCTTATTATCGACTAGAAGAAGCTTATACTCAAAACTTGGCACTTGAACCACTCTTTGAATTATATGAAAGACGAAAGGTTACGTTTTCAAGAGTAATTTGGCTGAAAGGTTTTACTTATCGTGACTTACTAGAGACTTTAAGGATCAGTCTTATGAATCAAGCAACAATGGTCTAATGCCCCCCGTGTAGTGTGACTTTTACAGTTGTGATCGTGATATCTGTTTTACACCTCAAACATATTGGTTTCCGATTTCTGCTGATAATGATCAGGAGTAGATTTACCCAGTCAAGGGAAAACCGAAAGCTGAAACAATTGGGCAGCTCATCTTTTGGGTTTTAAGATGTTGACCTGGTCTATCGAATAGCGATAGGAAAGAAGCAGCTTCTCAAAACGTTCATCCCTAGTCTTTCAATTTGGAAGTGGGATGTGTTTTTCTCAGGTGGAGATATGGTTGGCTCAGAGTCAAGAAACTACCCAATTCGATTTCAAAGTATCCAGGATTTGAGGAGATTGATCAGAAAAAGATCCAGAGATGAATGAGTTGATCAATACAAGTTCAAGAATCTTGATGAATATATCTGTATATATTCAATCACAATAATGGACTCTTCCTTAGGTAGATATTTGATTAGACGAGAAATCTCAGAGGCAGGAAATGAATGCCAGTTTGTGCACATTGCATCGTAGGCTGACAAACGAAGTCCTTGGTGCTGCTCAAATAGTGTGCTCCGGAGTTCGCACATCACATTACTCTTGTCTAGGGAGTCGATGATTTGTTTGTGGCATATCTTCTTAAGTTCGGGAATCATCAACGCTTGATTTGATCAGAAGAATGTGCATCAGCAATTCTTTATAGATCACAGCTCAAAGAAACAATGTAGAGACTGGCTTACTATCTGCCAAGCGATACATACTCTTTGGACTTGTGAGAGTCTTACAACCTTCTACATTGGTATGAGTAGTGCAGTGAGCTTCGGCCCACTGTTGATGTAGCTGTCCGATCTCTGAACTTAGGAGGGAGTTTTTTTTGCAATATTCTTGGTATTGAGATTGTAGAGGTGCAAAATATAGAGCTCTATGTTTGAGAAAAAAGATTAGATTTGCAGGATGAAGTGGAGCAGTACTTTTGAAATCTTGACTGACCCGCACATTGCATACTGAATAAAGGCCCGATATGTTTGTCTCCTAAACAATATCACACTGAGTATCTTTCAAGAAGAGTGTATACATGAAAAGAGCTCACGAGATGCCTTTTATATGAATGGTTGCATTGAAGATAGTGTTCTTTGATGATAGATGTCATCATGATCAACTTCAGAGAACATTCAAATGACCTTAGCATATGGTTCCATACCTTTTTAGGTTCAAAATCGTCTGAATCACTATCCCACTCCTCATTGGAGTCGTCACAGTATATCCCGTCATCATGGTTTTCCGATTTATCTAGATGTTGAGTCTCAGAATATTCTGGCGAGTAGCCTGTGTGGTTCACCATGTCCTGAACAAATCAGGTGTGTTCTTTTATTTGTACAAGAAAGACAGAATGAAAGGCGTTATACTGACGTTTTTGAAAGTATTCAATATGTTCAAGTATGCTACTACAGACATACAAATGCTTTGCAGTTCCGCTAATTTTTGAATGGAAGACCAGGCGAGTAACACTGGTATCGATTGAGGCTGATTTCAAAATTTCAAACATTTTGGCACGCATTTGGGCCATTTCTCTTTTCAGAGCATCCAACTCTGACGCTGGGTCTTTCCGGGACCATATCATTGTGAAGTGAAGTGCCTGTGCTCGCAAGTCATGGCAAAGCTTCAATGTTCCTCCAGAATTTGTATGCATAGCATGCAGACTTACAACAACACCTGCTTCATCGAGGAATTTTTTTACTTCCAGTGGTCTTCCTATAGCGATAGTATTCCATTCAACTGGGTTGACATGTGAAGTGACCTTGCCCTGACTGATGACCTGAGCAACACTCCCGCATGGCCTGTTAACGTGGAACTGTAAGGCTCATGTGTTGCGTCAAAATGGTGATTTGCATGAACATCAAGATCACCTCTATACAAGGAAACCAAGTAATTGAGTGATGGTGTGAACTTACCTCCCACTCCAAGTTCCATCCGGCATACATGGTGCGTACTGAGTCACTCATATGGACAACCAGTTCTTCTGCAGCCTCGTCGGTCGCCCCAATTGTAATTCTTTGTCTGTGTATCTGGAACACATGCGGACACTTTGATGTAAAGTTGTGCCTTGATGGGTCAAGATGTGGGTAATGTACGTGATGGTCATCTTGAAAAGTTATGACGGCAATGACAGGTTCATGCATATCTTCAGACGTAAACAGCCAATGATGACAATTGAATGTGCCCCGAGTCTGGAAGGAGATAGAATGTACGCAAAAAGACAGCCAAGGTCAATAGATTGGTACTGAGCATACTTGTTCATATAAAGATTGATGCCCTACTAACCTTCACCATATGATACTCAGTCATATTTTAAGGTTGAAATAAGTATCACCTGCAGGATTCCAATGCAGACGTAACTGTATTTATTCAAGAAGATCAGGAGATATAAGTTCACAGGCGTCAGAGAAATGATCAAGACAATCCAGCCCTATGATCTATAAATAGATGAATTTCATACGTACTATATCAACAATCGACAAGATGAAGAAACTTGAGAAATCAATGATTAAGTTTGGGAAAATGAGTTTCGGGAATGGTCAGTACTTATGTTTATTGATTGAGTTGAAACAGGAATATATTCCTTCCAATTACTTGACTCGGCGGTGGGGAGTATAGTGCCAATCCATGACAAAGGAATTGTTTTCTTTGTGCACGTGATGTACTTGTAGTCAAATGTGATCAAATCCTTTGTTGCAGCAAATAACCAAACTAAACAAAACAATTAAACACAATAGTCATCAGTGAGAGTATAGAAAAACAAGTTCATATACAATCATAGACGTATTGAAATAAATGCACCTATATTGAAAGATCAACACGTTTGTGTATTTCGGAAACAACTTAAGTGTAGGAGTTTTGGCACGGACCATATAAAGTTCTAAATGATTCGGTAAATCCACGATAGTTCTGGTAAAACAAAGGATTAGTCATCATTCTTCATGATGATAGATTGTTGATAGATTGTATAAGTTCTAAATCCATATACACATATCTCTGGGCTTCCCGTTTGTCTCTTGAGGCACCTTTGTTTAAGAGATGTGCCAAACAGTGATGGATAAAGAATAAGACACCAACTAGTTCACTAAGTTAAATAACTGGACAATGGCCTAAAAGATGTCTGAGTTGGAGCTAGACCAGAGGCGTGAAGTTGAAGGCAAGTGGGTAGATGCAGAAGAGGATTTGGTACATGAGATCAAATTCTGTGTTGTCTTCTACATACAATTTCATTAATCTCAGAACTGAGTCCTTGACGTGGTTGAGCAGTAGTCCACGGCTAACTGAAGAAGTGAAAGGAATATGGGCCAGTCTCAAGATTATTAGAATTCCATGAGATTACTTTGAAGAGCATGATATGAAAAGAGACAAATCTTTCCCTATCTCAAAATTTGAGGTGAAGATCATACATTGTACATTATCATTGGTATCAAAGATTCTTGGACTGACTTGAATTCCTGGTTTAATTATAAGCCACCCCTTGCTGTAGTCTGAATGGTTATTCTGAAAAGTTGAGATTCTTCAATGGGCTTCACTCCATTAGTTGATTTACCAAAGGATAAAATCCTGTATAGAGATGTTGCATAGTTTCTTCATAGTTTGATAATGATCATATAATTTTTTTTACGATAATTCAGTTGACACGGATAACAATACAAGTGAATCTTTCAAATAACAAAAAACATCCAATATAAAGGAATTCTAACAACGTGAAAAGATTTTAATCTACGTATTGCTATGGTTGAGGGTTTAAACAGTCAAAAAGGTATCTCAATAATAAACACTTGGCTTGCAGGTTTTGACCAGTTATGTTGAAGCAGACCGTAAAATTCCAAAAAAAATGGAAATAATGCAAAACAGCTGATTTTGAAAGGTTTCCTAAGCGTGCGGAAGCGCTAAAGGAAAGATTTCAAAGCCTGAAGGAAAGAATGCAAAACAGCTGAATTTGAAAGGTTTGTGGAAGCACTAAAGGAAACATTTGGAATAGACTAACAATCATGGCATAGTACACCAAGGATGATATGGAGGCACAAAGATTTCAATTGGGTCAGGTTGGAATACGCAAGGAGCTATGAGAGAATCCCTTTTAAATAGCTGAAGTCACTCAGGATCTAAAAAACCAGGCCAGGGCGCTTACAGGAGCAGACCCTTGTTGACTGGTTCAAATTGGGCCCTGGTGCAATCCAAACCTGGTTCATTAACCAATCTGACTGGATTGGTTACCACTTAAATAAATGTAGGTCAAAATGTTACAAAGAGATGTGTTGGAATCTAGGCTAGGGTGTTTATAGATTGATTGGGTCCACACCGGTCCAAAGTTCAAACAATCCAGGACAGCACCATGGCAAAAAAATCTTCGACTAGTGATCACTTCAGTATCTTTTAATGAGAATTGAGAGCCTTGTGAAGCGATTTGACTGTTTGAAGAATTTGAAGAACCAACATGATATGTAGTATAATCTATTACCATCACATCCTTTTTGAATCATTTTTTTAACAGGAATCATAATTGCTCAACTGATTCGAAATTGGTATTTCGAATTTCTTTTCAGCACATCCAATAAAACTTTTTGAATCAGTTTTACTAATTCCACCAATTGGATTTATACCAGCACTTGAACAATCATATTTGGTCATATAACCTTCCAAACTAAAATCATCCCCCCCAAAGACTGTATATCAGTCTGGGAAATTGTCCAGATCAACTACAATTCAATCAAAACTTGCCTTTCGTCTACATCTGCACTACCTACGACTGGCAAACCAGCATCAAAACCTCCAATCCAAGGTAAGTTGAGCGAACTAATAACTCAATAACATTCTGAATCTGGCCTACGGAACCTACCAAACCAACCACATCAGATCAATAAAGATTTGCACGGATATACTACTTTGAAGACAGATAATACCGACTTAGATGTTTTGTAAAGCTAGAATCTCAGTTGAAGTACCGCCATGGATTTGGTTGAAAAGTGGTGTACGAAGAGTTACTCAGGTGAAAAGAAATAAAATGGCAGTTACAAATGTATACATACGTACATCCAAATGATACCTATCAAAAAACAGAAATCAAAGATCAATTCAAGCTTCTTTCAAACATGTGAAGGTCCTTTTTTTGTGAGTACATACGCCCCTATATCCATACCTAAAATCCTAATTTGCTCTTTTACGTGTTTCAGGACTTGAGTTTTATGTACCCATATAAGAAGTATGAAAGTTGCAATCGAAAAACTCCTTCGCAGCTAATGAAATATAATCTTTTGAACCTCGTGCAATCCTTCTTGCATCTTCAGTCACTTGTCGATCTACAAAAAACACATCATATTCTTCAAATAGCGTTCAACAAATCAAGAATCAGTGTAAAAAATGAAACTTAATTCCCTAATCTTGCTCCTTCAATAATCTCACCACCAACAAGCCGGTCCGATTCTAGCCAAAAACGAAGCACACATAAATTTTTCAATCCGAAAGATTAGAAAAAAGTCACTTACACAACTGCTTCCTCAGGAGTATGATACCTAACTTCAATTTCTTTTCTAACCTTTACATCAGAATCAGAACCACAGAGTTCCATGTTGACCCAAGCCATTTCCAATTGGATGTTCAAAAGATCGAGAAGCCTGAGAAGATCTACAGTCTTGATCGATTAGATGAGATCTAACAACTTCCCAAATCAACATGGCAATCCGAACAGAATTTACCTTCATATTGTCTCCCAATTTAAATGTCACTCCAACTTGTTGTGGTTCTCCAACCGTTCCAGCAGGTTCAGGACCATCAGCCCAACACACAGTAGTAGTCCCCGTATTCTCAGTCTGAACTCCATCTGAACCCCAAAAAACCAGAAGCCCCATCAATCAACATTCTATTCACTCAAAACAAGCAAAAGTTAGAAAAACAACAGATGTCCTACAGACCTTCAACAACATCAGTTACAAAAGCCACTTTAAGAAACTCCAGAACTTTTAAATACGATTCGATCCCAAAACGGATGATAAATTGATCCAGTAGAGCTCAATGTATCTAATTTACTTGTTAAAGCCTGTCGGGCTAAGACTCCTTTGAAACCAGGTTGATCTAATTGTGCGTTGACTGCATGATAGATTCAGTTTAATACTCTTGGTACACTATCAAAAGGTTTACGACGAATGAGTCCTTTGGTTTGATGAAAATTGGGATAAATGAATAAACTTACCTAACAAATCGAGTAGGTTTAGCTATTTGGATATTTCCTAATAATCTCAAATCATCACCGCAAGCAAAAGCAGCCGGTTGACCAACAGCTTTTTTTAAAAAAAAATCTCAATCTTCAATCCGGGTTACATACCATGTTTATATGTACCATATGTATATTCGGTCATTCTTGAGACCAATCACCGGTCACTACTGAATGATGAGTTACGAGTTGTCTCCTACCTGGTCCTCATACAAACAAACTTACCAAGTCGCATGTCTTGCAACGATTTTCAATTCCTCAGGGTGTTCTTCAAAGAATTCCATTCCATTCAAAACAAATATCAAAATGAAACACGTTAACCTCTATCTCATTATTATGAACCAAACAAACTTCAACTTCAAGATTATGATTATTTATCAAAATCAGAATACAAAGAGTATCTAGGAGTATCTAAATTCATTTCATTATTGAAATCAGAATATCTATTTACACAAAACAACAAATTGTTTGGGAACGTTACTTGAGAGTTTTTCCATTCATTTACTTTTTTAATTATCTTTTTTGATTATCTTACTGTTAATTCTAAATCAATATCAAAACATACATAATCATCAACGATTTGATTGTCTTGAAAGTTTGAATGATTATTTCATTCAAAGTGATCCTAAAATAGCCTAAAACACATTCAACCCAGTTTGATGTCGTTTAGTCATTCTTGATCAATCTTTGAATATTACTAATACTAGCACGACTGATCACCAGCCCACATTGGTTGATGCTCCTGTTATTCCTTCATGTAGATATGATCAGTATCTGAAAAATTGTCATCACCATTAGTCTCTGTGAATGATTTATTGAAGAGTGGCTTCCAAAATCACACAAACATCTTATCATACTCAGAAAAACACATTGTGAATGTTTCATATTCCCATACTCACTAAGCCTGGCGCCTTGCAATCTCCGGCTGTGTATTTCTGTTCACTTATAATTGTGAAATGTTACAAATTACTGAAAATTCATTGGGTCTTTGATCAAAAACATATGTTCTTCCTCCTGATTTTTCAATAGACCTGGAGATGTTAAGGTGATCAATTGATACATTACATCAGTTTGTTGTCCAAATGATCCCAGGGCTGGTTCTTTCATTGGAAATTCTAATGTCACATCATCTTTTCCTGGGACTCTATACCAACTCTTTGTGCAACCCCAATGATGGTAATTCAAATAAATGTCAAAATTCAACTTGAAGTATAATCAATTTCAATACAATGTGGTGGTAAGGCCTTACTCATATGTATGAAGCTCTTCCTTATGCCAAGCAAAAGTCAAAAACAACATCCCAACATAAATCCAAGGCTGAGTGATCCAAGCAGAATCTGATTTAATTGACCTAAGTAAAGACCCAGGTGCAATTGATAAAGTATATAGATTTCATTCATCTTTATCATAAGGTTCAAGTGGATGTTTTTCAACATGTGGGAATTCACTACTAAAACAAAAACCAAACCACAAAATCAGTCATTTTGAAATTGAAAGGGGATCTTTCATAAATTGATGAATGACGTATCACTGAGAAACAAGAAAGAAGAAGAGCTTACATATAGTGATCAAGTAAATAATCTTCTGTTGGTTTTAAATTGGGTGAAGTAGAAATATAAATTTGATAAACTTTGCACATTTTTTATAGATTCATAAATGCCTGTTAATCCTATCATGGATGAAGAAAAATGTTTCAAGTATTGGATTCTTGCTTCTGGTCTATCTTGATTTACTAAATTGGTTGGATTGGTGCATCAAATTGATATTTATTTATATTTTCAAAAAATACAAATTGTTTAGGTCTTTTGTGGGTTGGGATGTGGGGTTGTGAGGTTTGAGGGGAGGGAGGAAATGTTTCAATTACTGATTGCACACATTATGTAATTCTTATGGACAAATATTAGGCCAACTTGTAAACCCAAACAAAATTATTTCCAATAACCAACACCCAAAACCAAGAGAACAATCAGTTCAAGATGATATTGACAGAAAGAGAAAAAATATGAAAGCTTACATAAATCAAAGTGATGTTTCCTAATAAAGCATCTTGCTTAAACATTTTACCATTCCAAACATTTGATAATTCAAATTCACTTTCAGCCTCAACTTTCCTCATCAATATTTGTTTTGTTTCCTCTCTTTTGCTTTCCTGCACTTCAATTATTTCATTTTTAAAATACATTAATAAACTTGGACCTATTAGAAAATCCATAAATGAATGAACTAAATTATCTTGACAAACAGACATGTAATAGAGAAAAATAAGTGATTTGAGAGTAGATAGAGTAAGTATTATTGAAAAACAAAAATGATATGATATAAGAAAAAAAATGTAAACAGAATTTATCAATCCGTTTATTCTAATTCTATCAATTCAACACAAGACCTTCCACCTCTTCAAAATATGAGATCCAAAACCAGACCTACTTACCAAAAAAACATAAAAATAAACAACAGTAGAACTTAAATTGTACCTAGAAGTTGAATTTTTAAGAATTGATTTAGAAGCACTAAGTTAATGAGTACTATCACCTTTTGGTCTTTCCTGATCACTGAACATGGCGGAGCTTTTTTTTATAAAACTCTACATCAGAACTTCCACTCCCTCTATGGTGTGACTTTAATTCAGTAATTTCTTGTTCTTCTTGTGGTTTGTTCAAAATCAGCTTCCATTTGATTTCATTCTTTTTTCTACTACCTCCTTTAACTACTCCATTCATCCCTCTCAGTACTCCTTCATCATTAGATTAACTTCTCCTTTCAATCTCTTCTGAATTTCTTACTGCTAACAATGTTCAGACTGCTGAAATTATGGATCGGTACCTCAAATGATTATTTCTTTGATCTTGGCTCCATCGGTGTTGTAATTTCAGTTTTCGGAGGAGAAAACATAGAAACCGTTAACATTTTTCGGAAGAAATACCTTGGGTTTGAGTGGATGAAATTAACTTACAAAAACAAAAACAAATTCCACTAATTCCAGATAAGATCTATAAGATACCACAAATCCCAAGTTGAGCCGAAGTCCAAGCATTAAAAAGGGTTTTAGATTCATTCGAAGGAGCTTCAGTATTATTGCCATCAGCAGAAACAAATTGTGATAGACATTGTTCAACGACAGTTCTATGGTGTTGAGCTGATAGGATCATCATCTCGAAAGGATATCTTAGAGTAATTAAAACAAGTGCAAAGTTAATATAAAGATATTTTCTAAAGAATTTGACCCTTTCTTCATATACACCATAGAACCTATTTTTGAAGCGAAATTATTTCCAATATCATTAGCTTTCTCCTTCCTTTCATGTTTCACCATCTTTTCCACTTGAGATCAATGATAAAAATCACCTCATCAGTAAGAATCCAACCAAGATACATAAGACACCCATGACAGGCATCAAAGCCTCATGAAGATCGTGCCAGGACAGAAAAGTTGGTGAATTTGGAACAGTGAGATAAATTTGGACATTTGGATTTAATCGGAGATGGATCAGAGCCAACTTCGAATTTGGGTGATTGAAAAGACTCAGAATCGGATTCAGATACATAATCGAAAGGTTTGGCTATTATGAGGATTGTGATTTCACTTCAAGCTGGTCGGCTGAATCTTGAAATTCCTACTAATTGTGAGCCTGGTGATTGAGGTGGTGTTAATTCCATTGATTGTTCTTGTTTGAAATTTTTTGGGATCAGACTGATTGATTAGTACGATGATAATTCTTCCTTTAAGGTTTTGGTTTCTGCTCTTGCTGCCCAAAGAACGTTTTGAAGATGTGCTAACTTCTAAAAAACAAAACAAAACAAAAGAATCGTCTCAACTTATTTGAAAGTATGATTGAAAAAGGTCAAGTTTAGTGTATTAATAAACTTAACTTTCGCTCTTCTTTCCCTTCTCTCCAAAGTTGATCAATCGGGACGAAGATCGATTCAACATGTAGGGTTGAGTTTAAACTTGATGGACCTGTAAACCTTCAATTTACAAGTACTGTTTTGGAGTTTTATCAGGTTTTGCCTGCGGACGCGGTTCAACTTTTACCAGTATGACTAGTATGATAGTTAGTATGATTCAAAACAAACCCTTTTGAACTCGATATATTCATTTTGTTTGGTTGTTTTGGTTTTTTCTTTGAAGTATGAGGTTAATTCTTTGTTTAGTTTAGTTGATAAAATCGTTCCCTCTCCAAAGCCTTGGAAAAAGTCTAATGCCAAGATTCTACAACTTGATTCTAAACAAATAAAGTAAGTTTTTTAATCAAAAATAAAACAATAGTTTAAAGACTTTTAAAAGATTTTAATAAACTTTCTTGATTGGTTTTTTCATTAGTTCGAAAGTCTCCTGTACAGGTACCTTAAATCAGCTCTTTACGTTGTCGAAATCCAAAAAACCACTTGAGAAATTTGAGTGTAACTTTTTTTGGTCGAATTGTGTAGTGATTTTTATTGCAAAACAAGGTGAAGGGTTTCATAATATTGCTGAGTTATATGAAACTCCGATGTGGGAATCCTGATTCCTCATTGATCACATTTGTTAGTATTAGTGGTAGGAATAGAAGCTTAAAAATTAATCGATGACCTTTGTGGAGTTTTAACCAATTATTTTTGGTAAGATCGATAACTTTTATTCTTCTTTCTTAGTAACTGACAGAGTTTTGGTTTCATGTAAATCCAATCAGATGGTAATCAATGGGTTTCTGAATCTGATGTGGATGCTGCTGAATTCAAGACCTCAGAAGATCCTCGCGGTAAATCTTCACGTAGTAGTACTGAGATCACTTTGTAAGCATCTCATTTTATTTCTATTCTTTGTTCTCATTGGAATACTTGGACTTACATACGTTGTTGTTCTACCTATAGGTATATTAAACATGATGCTACTGAGTATTTAGAGATTGACAACTCAAAGAACTAATTGCAACTCTGAGTTTTCCACAGTCGTGCCAATTTATCTTTGGACTGACAAAGGTTTGTCTAATTTTTGCTCAAATACATGTTTCTCTTTTTTTGAATACTAATCTTTCAATGATTTTGGATCTTTAGAGGAAGAAGTTTTAATTGAAGAAGAAGAAAAACCCAAACTTATGGCGAAGAGGATAAATCATCACAGGTAAAAGAGAAACCTGATGAAGAGAAAGATGAAGATTCTGAAAGGAAGAAATGGACGAGCGGAATAAGAGGATACGACAATATTGTCTTTAATGGTGATGATGAATAAAACTGATGACTATTCAAAGCAGATGATATGGTTAGTTTTGTTCAGTTCTGCGCTTTCACAATCTATCCTAAAATTTACTTCTGATGACCTTGCTTTGAATGCAATGCGATCAGTATAGTCGGGCCGATTATCATCAAATTATCTAGGTTCCCAAAGTTATCAGCTTCGAATGAACTTCGCTACGCGAAGTTTTGAATTGATTGGTCCCACAACCATCTTGATTTGATATGTAGCCGTTATAACTTGATGCGAGATAGTTTGAGCTGAGTTTCAAATCGTTCGAAGATCCAACTACCTACAAGCGATCCTGTGTGTCTATATGAACTTATCATCATATTTTGTAACTTATCCATCATTATGAAATTCAAACTATATGGTATCCTAACAAGTATTACACGCTCAAGTGATTCTCACTCTACCCAAGATATCCAAATCGAATCTCTTTAAAGTGAGATCTAAAGATTTTCAGGTTCCTGGTAAATATGTATCCCCATTGCTTTGAAAATCTAGTTGTGAATTGATTTCTCAAAAGACCATATTCAATTCCACCTCATGAGTTGCTTTTAGATAACATAGTATATGTGATGCCTTTTCTTCAAACATAACGATCCACATAATCCTTCCAAAACTCGAAAAAAATACTTTACCTTGATCAGAGGTCCAGCCATTAACTACTTTCTTGTGTTTCAAAGAAAGGATGCACAACCATAAACCAAGAAAGAAATTAAATTCTTTCAAGTTTCATTGACGTTGCTTATCTTTAAATTTGTTTTTTTCTGATAGTTGATAAAATTGTTTCCTACATTCTTGTTTTGAATTTGGGCCCAAGTTTTTCTTATGATAGCCTTGAACTGAAAAGGCAAATCAAAGATTTCACTTCAAATGAGCTTTCAGATTCAACAAAAGATACAATTGAAATCAACTTCAAAGTCAGCAAGATCAGGAAATGGTACGGACATGAGGTTCTCAAGTAAGCATATGCTTTCTTTTCTTTTTTCTTTTTGGCACATGTGAAAATCCATTGACAGCGCTTTGTTCATGATTTGTTTTGGGCTTCTTGAACCCCAATCAATAAGAACCTTTCTGCGCGTTTTGAGGCTTTAGGTCACAACTAACAATACTATTGTCAAGAGGTATGTAAATTGAGATGGGAGAAGACATTTCTTAATCAGATGTGTGTATTACATATAGACATTCATGTGAAACATTAAGAACCTATATGTGACAGAAGTAAATATGATCAAAGGCGTGTCAAGTAATCATTATATGCTGAATAACAAACCCTTCATCCAATAGTCACCCCCAATGTCATCATCTTACTTTTTAGGAGCACTGCACGTTTGCCTCTGCAAGGATTGCTCAACGTCACAGTTTGAGTATGAAGGATCAACATACCAAGGCCTACCACGATCTAAACCCAGTGGAAAGGCTCACGAGGAAAAACTTGAGTGGAATGGGACTCTGACAAGCGGGTCAAAAGACTCTGGTAGTAGTCTACAAGATAGCTCTGGAATGGTAAGCCTAAGATCTTCACGGAGTTTGAATGGTCTGACAGCTCTGCAATAGAAACCTGATTCTTTCTATTTTAAGCCTCCCTCAGGATCTCTTAATACCACAACGCTGCCGTCACAAATCCTCCGTCCCCCACTGCGATCAGGCACGGTTAACCCATCACATTTGCACCCCAGTCGAGACGAAATCCAGCCAAACTCTGAGCAAACCCGCCTTTCCTATGGACTAAATGCTTCACCAACCGCTGTCCCCGAGCAAGTCCTAGGTCCTCATGACCCTGGCACATCATCATCAAACCATTTCAATACAGAAAACTTTCGTATGCAAGAGGTGTATCTCCTTCGCCCTTCTTCACTCATTTCAATGCTACAGGTTGCCCATGGAAGTATCATCAATCATGTTAATGAAAATCAAAGTCAAAATTCTTTGCATCTCAGTAAGCTACAGGCAAAACAATGCGCACTGGAGCATGGATACAGCGGACGTCCTTACTGGGACGATATACCAACTACGGTCCCCAGGCTATTCACCATGCTCAACCTCGATGTCCCTCTGACAGCTGAACTGTGCTGCCCTCGGTGTTTTGCTTTGCATGGCGTGCCGGACCCGGAGAACAAGAACAAATACAAATCACGATGCGATGCTCTACGTTTCTTAAAGAACCCTGATTTGATCAGGAATAGCTTACAGGATTTGCGACGTAGCAAATGTAATGAAAACCTTTACACTACTAGTTCAACAAGAAGAAAGGCATCTAGAATCTTTTATCATCAGTCTGTAAAAATTTGGCTTGCAAAAATGATGTTATTGCCTGTTTTCGAGGAAGAATTGGATGCTTCTCTGCTCCATACCCGCCCCCCCAATGCTCCCATGTGTGATATTTGGGATGGAGAAATGTGGACAAATTTTGAGTGTGAAGGAAAGCGTTTCACTTCAACCACTGGGAACTTGGTCTTTGGGTTGTATGTCGATTGGTTCCAACCACATGGAAAAGGATCACAGCGAAACATCTCGACGGGCAATATTCTTCTCATATGTTTCAATCTACCTCCGCAAATTCGATATAAACAAGAGAATTTAGTACTCTTTGGAACGATTCCAGGCCCTCGAGAACCCAAGGTCGAACAACTCAATCACCTATTGCGTCCCCTAGTAGATGAATTTCAAGAGTTGTGGCGGGGTGTTTTCTTCTCAGCAACTGCAAGGTACCCTAATGGCCGTTGTATTCGTGCTGCTATATGGCCTATCATTGCTGATCTCCCGGCTATGAGAAAAGTGGCAGGGTTTCCATCTCCGACGGCAACACTTTTCTGTGTGCATTGTGGTCTTGTAAAACGTGATATATCACAGACAGATCCAAGTAAATGGCCTCCACGGCTTGACCATCAACAGCACGCTGACGAGTGGATGAACGCTGAAACCTTGGGTGATCAAAACACTGTATTCACCACCTTTGGAACTCGATGGACCGTCTTGTCCGAGCTTCCTTATTGGCAACCCATAAATTTCGTCACTGTCGACGTCATGCATTGTATAATCTTGGGTCTTCTTGCTGACCATGCAAACGAGTGTCTTGGGCTGGCTATTGCTGGAAGTGCTCTGGATTCAAAACAAACCTCTGCGGATGCAAAAACTATACATCATCAAGCGGATAGCAACTCTATATTGAACAAAGATCCAGCTTTCTGCACATCAACTGCATCACTCGCTTCCAACCACTCCACAGCCTCATCTATATTCAGCCTCCCTCAAAGCCAGTCTTCCGATGCTAGTATCTCAGAATCATCCGATGGTCTTCCTACTACCTCATCATCCTTGTTCAACGATAGTCTTGAAGAAATTTCTCCGTCACCTTTGGATTCTGAAGGCTCAGCCTCTAGGAACAAAAAAAAAGATGTGCAAATTGCTACTGTCAGGCGGTGAGTGACAGCCATTTAATCAGACCACTTTGATAGGATTTGCTGACAACAAAACTTTCCACAGAAAGCGTGCTAGGCCTCGTGGACTACCCACGGCAGGGACTGCTGGCCGCCCAAAAAAAAAGGGCACATTTTTAATTGCCACAGTGCCCGATGAAGTGGTTTCAACCTCTGCTGTAGCTGCTCCCCAGAGGGTCCCACGGCGCTCTACACGGTTAAATTCGACTTCAAGTACAGAGATAGCTGGAACTTTTCCCAAGCCACTTCCACGGCGCTCCAGTCGGTTGGGTTCAACTTCAGGTGCAGATGTCCCATTCAGACCCCTCCGACCAATCCCAAGACGCTCAGGACGGGTTGCTTCCACTGCAAATCCAACTGCACTAAGAACCGCCGGACCTACTCAACCCGTTGCATCGACATCAACTAGTTTACCAACCATCCGTAATCGCGTGCTACGTCAGCGGAAAATGAATGCTAGTCAGGCCAAAAGTAACAGTGATTCAGATATTACCATACGAGGCGCTAGACAATCCAATGAGCTACGGGGCGGAAAACCAAGGGCCAGCGTGAAAAGAAGAAACAGACAAAATCCAAGGGTCAACGTGAAAATAAGAAACAAACAAGACCCAAGGGCCAGCATGAGAAAAAAAAGCAAATGCCTTTGAATCCAAAGCACTTGACCACATCTGATCTTAATCATATACATAAAAGTATTGCCAACATAGTCACTCCAACTTGGTTAACTCGTCCCCCCAAAAAAATTGGAATGAAAAGTGCTGGCACACCAAAAGCTACGGAATGGCTCTCTTTATACACGATCTATATGGTTCTTTCGTTTATCCCTGAGCTCCAACTGTCTGATGATCCTGATCGACAACTTATGTCTGCAAGCATAATACAGGTAGCTGAAATCGCCAACTTGTCTATGTCTCGAACCTTCAGCCAGAATGATGGAAATCTTTTATCATCTAAATTACGGACATATCAAGAGGACCTCATGGCTCACTGGCCTGATGTGAGTATCAAGCCAAACTTACATATTGCTCAACATATGCCCCAGATTGCAACACTCTATGGACCTCCAGTAAGTACAGGAACTTTTGTTGGGGAACGTACAAATGGAATCATGGTCAAGATAAGGAAGAATTATCATTTGGGTGAGCTATTCAAACTTGGGATTTGAAGTTTATTATGAATCCAGGATGAGTTCTAACTTATGGTATACTAACTTTACAAAGAGGATATCGACAAAACAATCTGCCAGTC